TAAAAAAAGGTTTTGTTGAAGCATTTTAAGTTAAAAGAGAGTCACGTTATAATCTTTGATTTCAGGCACAAAAAAGTACATGAATATTTGACAAAAACTGGACTACAATCACATGAAACATTGTGAATGACACAAAAATAAGAAATATGACACTTTCACATTTAAAATGGTTGTTTGTGACTGTATGATCGTTATACATTTCAGGTTTATTGCCTAATCATACAAATAATTAAGTATTTTCATTGCATGATGACATTAAATCATCCGCAGTGCTTTATTGGAGAAGGTGGAGCTAAAGATGTATGTGTACAGTTTGCTGTCTGTCACTCTGATTGGGGAAAAATGCATCTAGGGTAATGTGGTTTTTCTGCACAAATTGCACTACTAAACATTATTGTTTAGTGTCATCCAGGTGAACAAGGCTTATGGGCTACTGTTAAAAATCAATTTCCCTGTGTAGAAAGTTTTTTAATTGTCAGAACCAGCCTTATCTCTTGAGAAAAACGTAACTATTTTACATTTTGTCAGTTTCATGGGTAATTCATATGAATTCGTAAATGTACGATGTTAAAAAGGAGACATGGCACCCAACCCCACCCCAAAACCCAACCAGATTAGCATATTGTACTAAATTATACGAGATCGTACAAGTTCATATGAATAAAGGCTGATTTATACTTCTGCATCAAGTGATCGGCATGATCAACGATGCCTGCCTTGCGCGTAGTCATGCATTTATACTTCTGCATGCCTTTTGTGTTGATCTGCAATAATAGTTCCAAAACACTGGCAGTTCCTCTGTGCCATGTTTCTTTGCCTGTGTTTTGTTTTTCTGAATGCTACCTCAATGTACAAGTAGCTAAAACTCGCTCCTTCTGAGACAGGAACCAACAGCTTTAATCACAAGATAAACACAAAACAACAGTTTCCATCTAGAACTACTTCATGTGTCTCTACACTGATAAACACTCACTTAAATGGATTTGCGTGGCTCTTGGTCCCACCCACAGTGGTCACAGCTACCAAGCCAGCCAATTTTTTGATAGGTGTGTGCCAGCGTTGGTGTCAGCCACAGCGTGGGCTATGCGACTGCGCTAAGGCAGAAGTATAAATCTATATAAGTCTTTAGCCTCTAAATCAAAAAGTTACGAATTTTTGTGAGATAGCGTTGGTCAGAACCCAACTGTTGCTTTTGATTGGACTTAGCAAAAGGGAAAGACAAAAAGTAGCACCATGCAGATATCGCTTGTATTTACTTAAGGTCATGTGAATTTGCCACACGGACCAACTGATCAGCTGCCTAGTATGAAAGTGCCCTCTGTGTTAGCTGAACTTTAAACATCTCAAAACTACAGAGAGTTTTTGTAGATAAAATTTCATAAATGTGACCACACCTTGAAGAGTGTTGCAGGCTGGATGAGATCTTTAAAATTTGTCAGTGAAGGGCCGTTTACACGATAACATTTTCAGCAAAAACCCAACATTTTTATGCATTTCCCCATTCATTTACACTACAATGGCAAAATTGGGACTGAAAATTCCTCAATTTTAGATTTAAAAAAGTTTTGAAAAATGCCACTTTTGTTGCATCCATGTAAATGCACAAAACGAGAATCTGTGAAAACGATGACGTCATGCATGTGCATAGTACATGCTTAGAGATGTGCCGATTAACCGCAAACATAAACAAACACACACAACAAAGGTGGAATACATGGTGGTGCTGCTGTTTCTTAACTGTTTGCTAATGCTTCATGAGCAAAGTGTGTATTTACGTCACATAACAACCAATCATATAGGCTACACACGCCAAATTCTACATACACACCAACGAGTGGCCACAGACATATCATCGCTTCACTACAGGAACTGTTTACTAACAAGAGGACAGTGCCAAATACTTGCCGGTCAAATGTAATAGTGTGTTTGGGCCGTTTTTGTGGATTTATGTAAATGTGGGTCGCTTTGAAAATGTTATCGTGTAAACCTGAATCTTTTTTCCAATGCAAAGGAAAACATTCCAGTTTTTGACTAAATTATTGTCATGTAAACGTACCATAAAACGCAGAATGTTCACACATGCCACTCGGCATCTGTTGAACTGTCAATGACACCACATATTTTTCCATTAAACTGCATTATATTTGTCCCAAAATGTTAACATACAAAAACATCACCTTAGGCTGGAGGATTGTGTATTGTGCATCTTTAAGAGAAAAATGTGCCTAGAATGAAGGGAGTTTTGATTGAGGCCAACAGTAATACAGATTCTTTTTACATATGCCCTGTTTTCTAGGACCATCAACTTCAAACCTTTGGTCACACTTTAAAATAAGGTTTCATTAGTTAACATTATGCAGAGTTCAGACTGCACAATTTAGATCCCTCACTGCACAGTAGATCCCTCCTACACTGTAGGTTTGATCGGCGACAGGGGGTTTCACACTGCATGACTTTGAAATAGGAAGAATCGCTGACAACTTTAGTCTCGATCTGCAAACTATGTCTAACAACCTAACCAAACACACGCGAGAAGTGACATGAAAACAACGTAAGGTCATGTAGTACATCTTTTGTTATTAACTACATAATAAAAAAACTTTTTTTTTTTTGACCCAGTTGTGATATTGCTCAGATAACACGTCAAACAGACTCAAGTGCTCCTGTCAAATTTACACGAGTTTTTCTTACATTTCTTGGGTCCAAATAGACTAAAAAAAGCCTTTTGAACTTCCCCCACAACCTTCCGCTGGCCTGCAGATACCCATACTATTGGATGCTGCTCTCTAATTGGCTGTAGGTAATCACTGATGTTATTTTTAATCAAAACACATTTCATACGACATGATTTTGAATCACTGACAACTCCAGATATTTAGCATGCCCAACATTCTATCAGATCGCGTCTTTGATAGTTCACACTGTGTGATTGCTACTCAAGTGAACGAGCACCAATTTGCCTGTGATTGCAGACATTTGTCGATGATTTCTCAAAACCTGTTGGCCATAGTCGAGTCAAAATCAGGGCTAAAATCATGCAGTCTGAACTCGGCATTAGCTAATTTATTTATGAACTAATTATAAACAATACCTGTAAAGCAGTGGTCCTCAACCGATACCAATCCATAGATCAGTTGGTACTGGTCCGTACAAGAAGTCATTAATTATTTCTGTTTTATTTATTAGCTGAGTCTGAAAGATTTTGAAAAGTCTTCTATTTTGAAAAATGCACGTATTCTCTCGGTTACATCTTGGTCACTTGAGCGCCCAAATTTAACCCACAAGAAGTAGAATGATTAGGAAACAGACATCTTTGGAAATTTTCTTTGCTAAGGGAAAAAGGCCCATTGACGGCCAAGGAATGGATCCCCCTGCTAAAAAATCCAGCTTAAACCATCCTAGGATAGTTGGCTGGTTTTAGCTGGTCAACCAGCCTGGTTTTAGAGGGGTTTGAGCCATTTCCAGGCTGGTTTTCAGCCATTTACAGCTTGGTTTTAGCTGATCAGGCTGGAAAATGACCAGCTAAAACAAACTTGACCAGCCTGGTTTAAGCTGGACATAGCTGGTTTTGGCTGGGCTCCCAGCCTGGCTAGGCTGGTCAAGCTGGTTTTAGCTTGTCATCTCCCAGCCTGACCATCTAAGACCAGGCTTGAAATGGCGGAAACCAGCCTGGAAATGGCCAAAACCCCTCCAAAACCAGGCTGGTCGACCAGGTGAAACCAGCCAACCATCCTAGGCTGGTTTAAGCTGGACTTTTCAGCAGGGCTGCAACCCATTTGTCAAAAAATCAGGTGAATCCACCATGGCTGTGTAAGAAGATCAAACGATGGAGATTGCAAATGATGTCAGCCATTTAGGGGTCGTTTGCATATCGCATGTTTTCTAAAGTTTGCACAATTTCGTTGTTTCCAATAGAGGTGCGACATGCTTGCACCTTTCAGACGCACTCAGTAGAATGAATCTCGCGAGCACACTGCGTTCAAGAGTAACGTGATAAGAACTGACCGATCAGCTTCATGCTTTCAATGGAATATGCACGTTTTGCTAGACTAATTATCTCAGACAAACACAGAACACCTAAAATCTGCAGTGCTTTGTATTGTTTTCCTTAAAACTTTTATCAGAGTGACAGCAATGTTTTGTCAGCATGTCATGCTCTGAGAAAACGTTAAATGATCGCCTGGCAACCTACAAACCAAACCCCCACCGCCCCACCCCAGTCTGCAGTAAAATTGTCAAGCGTTGATGGGTTCGCAGTGATAAAAAGGTTGAGGACCACAGCTTTTAAGCATTTATTAATTATAGTTCAACATTTACTAAAGCATTATTAACATTCAATTGCTTGTTAACATTAATTAATGCACCATGAGGTAACAATGAATGACTGTATTTTGATTAACTAACAATAATTAACTTAAACAAACACTGTAATAAATGTATTGTTCATTGTTTGTTCACGTTATTGAATGCAGTTAATAACATTAACTAATACAACCTTATTGTAAAGTGTTGACAAACTGTTTATTTCTTGAAGTGAACTACTTCTACGGCTATTAGACTAACTATTTTGACTGCTGTCATAGCATGTCTGATGTGTGAAAATTTCTCATCCTGCCTTGAGAACTACTCTGTCAATCTGCACCACAAATTTAGGAAGAAGCTGCAGAACTTTTAGTGGTTTTGCTGTCTATGACAGAGGGGAGCATAGCAAATTTTGCTATCACTTTTTTGTCGTCTTATTCGAATGAAGTAATTTCCTAAAAAGGGGAAGGCTATGGCTTCAATCTCCGTAGATTAAAAAGAAAAGAAAAACGACAACACAATAAAATTAGCAAAGTAAAACAAGGAACCCTCAGTAAAATGTCACCTATAAAGATAGGAAAACAAAGTGATTGTTGATATTGCCACAAATCAGTAGAATTCACCTGATGTCCTGGAAAAAAATAGTAAATTCTATTCAAAGTGATGTTTTTTTTTTCCTCTTTACAATAGTCTGTTCATTATTTTTGCTCTTTCTGCCCCTTTGCCGTCCGGTTGGTGATATTGTTCAAACAGGCCCGGACTCCTGCCAAATGAAGCAGGGATCCGGCGGCCTCTTTCATCTCCTCGTCGTCACTTTCCGGAGGCTTCTCCGTGCGCCTCTTTTTTAGAGGAAGAGTGTCACTGGCCACTCTCTGTTTGACTTTTGTCAAAAGTTGCCGTTTCTTGTGCTGGGCCAGAGCGAGGGCGTCCACTGACCACTCCTTGGGCTCCTTCTTGATTTTACTCTTATCGTCGTCCTCCGCATCGCTGCCGGTCTCATTAGTGTGGAAGTTGAGCTCACTTCCATCACACTGTGCCTCCTCTTCAGCATCCGAGCCGGAAGATTTGGCGAAACTGTAGGTGTGGTCCTCCTTGGGGTCGCTGGTGGCCAGTGGAGAGTTTTGGGTTGGTTCAGTGTCACTGGTGATTCTGTATCCCAGTACTGACCTGTGAACAGAAGAGAGACGCATTAGTGCACATGCGGTTCCTGTTGTGCTCCGCGACTGCTCAGTGAAACAAATGAACTACATGAATTTACTGTGTAATTATTTCGTGGAGCTGCTTGTAATTATGCTACTATGGTAATTAATTATAATAATATGTGTAATATGGACACTCTGGATGGATGGTTTGCTTCTTTTTTTTTTCCTCGCACAGATGGCAATAACCTCTGGAACAGATGAATACATTTGTTCGGTTTGTTATTTTATAAAGTGGGTAAATCTATAAAAACTGTCAGGGTCATATTTTAGAAATAAATAGAAATAAAAAAATATATAATAAAATAACAAGTATAAAATTTGCATTAATTTAAATGTTGGTAACACAGTGGCTCGGTGGTTAGCACTGTCACCTCACAGCAAGAAGGTCGCGGGTTTTAGCATGTTTTAGGAGTTTGCTTGTTCTCCCCGTGTTCGTGTGGGTTTCCTCCGGGTGCTCCAATTTCCCCCACAGTCCAAAGACATGTGGTACAGGTGAATTGGGTAAGCTAAAATGGCCATAGTGTATGTGTGTGGATAAGTGTGTATGAGTGTATGAGCTACGGCTGGAAGGGCATCCGCTGTGTAAAATATATGCTGGATAATTTATTCCTGTGATATTACAGCAAAATTTTCAGTAGCCCTGACTGTAACTTGATACTCCAGAATTGTAGTTTTATCATTTTTAACCAAAAATTATTTATTTTTTATATGAGAAAGTCATTCATTTTGAATTTACTGACACCATGCGACCGTGGTAATGATATTAGTTAAGAATTAGTGATTTTACTCTTTAATACGAACATGCTGTTTTGAAAACGTTTAAAAACATTATAAAACTTATAAAAATCAGAGAGTTTGAACAGATTATTTAATGTTTTTATTTAAAACTATAAAATATTAAAATTAAAAAATTATGTGGACATGTGTATGCAAGTTATTATAGAAACATGGTGCCTGCCCAATCGATTCAAATGTTATTACTCGATTGAATGGACCTTATCAATGGCTATCAGGGGATAGATATGGGTCAGTAGGGGCCTTTTGCACCTACTGGTAGGCTTTAGAAGGCTGTTATCATCCATCCACATGGTTAATCAGCTATAGATCACATATAGTTGCAGCTGAAAGTTGAATTATTTAGAATTATTTATATTTTTTTATTAAATGTCCCATTAAGTGTATTTCATAAAGGTCTACCTTAACCCTAAACCCAACCGTCCCTATAATGTAAAAACAGATCTGTATCTGGAGTCTTCTCTATTACTATAGCTGACTAACCATGTGGATGCATGATAACAGCCTTCTGAGTAGGCGCAGAAGGCCCCTACTTGCCCATATCTATCAGCTGATAACCACTGATAACGCCCTTTCAATCAAATGATAAATTTCGAAGTGGGTGGCCTGTCAATCAATTCAGTGGACAGGGAACACTGCACTCCTATGTTGCGGTGAGCCTCAAAATCACTGGGGTTTGGATCCTATTTAAACATCAGGAAATTTTAAAGAGAGACTTGTTGGGTTTATATCACTCCAATTTGACAGTGGACACACTATACCTACACAAAGTTCTGTCCAAACAGCTTACAAAAGTTGATTTTATGCATAGGTGCCTTTTAAAACACTGGATATGACACAAACACCTAAATATAGGATAATATGGTATAACTGCAAACACATTTGTTCTTAAATTTGTTGTGTATTGGTAAACACCGCAGCCTACATGCACACTTGCAAGCACCTCATCCTAAAATGTAAAAAAAAATAAAAATTAAAAAATTAAACATTTGTCTCTGAAACACACTTGAGCTTTGAAGCACCTCTTCAGCAGGCCAACAACCATCGTTAAAAAGCAAATTAATTGGTGGATTATGAAACTCTCCACTTTCTGGTAAAATAATATGAGGAAATAAATGGCAAATAAAGACAGTTTTGCTGCATTTAAGCCTCTTGTCCTCGGAAACAGTAATGAAGTGTCTTTTCAATGATGCTTGTTTTGTGCTTCTGGTCACAGTTTATACAGCAGCGGCTCTGAGTGACAAAGAAGATCCTGCCGCGCTTTGCAGAAATGCTAAAACTCCCTCTGTGCTTCGAAAAATAATCCTAAGAGCTTTTCCCCTTCCTGCCTCATATGTGCATTTATGACTCATAAATTATAGCCACAGCACAGCAGGCTAAAGAAACGGCTTCAATAATTAATGCTTAAATGCAGTGTCACTCATTTTAAAGAGGCGAAGAGGGTGTTTTACCCTGTGGACTGAACTGCAGCCTGTCAAATCACGATATGGACATCATACAGCATCTGAGAGACTGTGAGTGTGTGTTCTGGTTTAATTGGTTTACAAAGATGCAAAACTCTATAATGACATGGGTATTACCTAGGCATTACAGGGTGGTTTACAAGGACATTCCTTGTGTCGTCATAATTGAAAATGCTTAAAATCCATACTTAATATGGTATTTTGACATTTACATTTTGAAGTGAGGATTGGCTTTTGGGTAAGGGTATGGCTTTTACAGTATAAAATACATTACGTCTATGGAGAGTCTCATAAAACACATATTCAAGTGTGTGTGTGTGTGTGTGTGTGTGTGCGCGCAGTAAAATTGAATGTTCTAATCATAAATGAGCTAATCTGACAAAATTATCAGGTCAGGCATTTGTTTTAAGCTACTACAATAATCTTAAGGACAGAAAAAAGTATTTCACCAGGAATCAATCGGATATCATGTAGGACATATAGAAAAATAAATTAATAAACACACTTTTATATACATATATTTCTATGTTAAATCAGGGTGCGAATTACAGGGAGGTTTGGTAGGGATTGACCTCCCTAATTAATGCTTGATCCCTCCTGAAGGACGTCACAACAAGTTGTATGGGGGGGGGGGGGGGGTCAGTCCTTTAATACTGAGAATTATTTCACAATGTTATGAATTAAAATAATAGATAATATAAATATACATTGACCACCTCTAAAACCATTGTGAAAGCATAATCGTGCCCATCAGTCTACTCTAGGAAAAGATCTGAAATTAGATGATCTAGAGCACTGACAGACATTGTGCTCACAAGACTTTGTTTTCTCGTAAAATAGTTGTTTGTAATTAAAAATAAATGCATAAATGACTGAAGAATGTTTTACACAAACTTAATGAAAAAAGTTGACCCCCCCTGATCGTCAGTGTATATTTCGCACACTGTTTGACATATAATAAATTGCCATTTTTACTGAATATTTATATGTTAATATATGTTATTAATATTAACAAATTTTTTAAGTAAAAAAATAAATAAAAGGTTATTATAGGTAAGTGCAACTAAAACCCCAATTTTTATTACTCACAATAAAATAAATGTAATAAACTGTAAATAAAATCCTCTTGTCCTAAACGAGTGGGGAGTGTCATAAAAAACTATACAGAATGAAAAACTAAAAAGAGAGAGAAAAAAACTACTGCCAATTTGAATGTTATCACTCGATTGAAGGTGCATAATCATTGGTTATTCAGCTATAGATCGCATACAACTGCGGCTTGAAGTTTACAAGTGTTTTCCCATTTATTGTATTTCTTTAACATCTACCCCAACCCTAAACCCAACCGTCACACTAATGTAAAAACAGATCTGTATCTGGAGTCTTCTCTATTAGTATAGCTGATTAACCATGTGAATAGATGATAACAGCCTTCTGAGCCTACCAGTAAGCGCAGAAGGCCCCTACTGGCCCATATCTATCAACTGATATCCACTGAAAACAGCCATTCAATTGAATTATAACATTCGAATTGCGTGAAAACTGTCACTAAAAACTTGCTAAAATGTATATGTTATATGGGATAAAACATCACCTTGAAATGTTATATAAGGGTCTGTAACCACGAACACACACACTATTTTAACAGGTTATTGTTTATGTTTCTGCAAAGCATGTATTGCTTCACTTTGTGACCAGGCTAAACTTTGAACCCATTAGTACTTAGTTGAGGAGTCATGCTGTACTGTAGGTCTAGGGTTTTGCAGTGCACAGATGCCAGCATGCAGTACCTGAGGACCCAAGCTTATGAATGTTTCACAGCAAGACAGTCTGTCCGCGTATTCGGTCATGCCATTAAAAAAAAAACTTAGTGTTTGTGATCAATTATTTATGTCACATCATGCATGCAAGAGCAAGGCTTTAGTCTGAGTAGCCTGATGTCTGTCAATGACCTGAGGAAACCTGCAGTCGGACATCAAGGAGAATCAAGGCAATGCAGTGCAAGCATTATTCCGATTGGCCGATAAGCCTGTCAATCATGTAATGAGTCAGCGGAAGGACAGGACTGACCTGACAGCAGCTGTCCTGCTGACGATGGGGTTGATGGGAAGGGGTCGGATTCCTGGGAAGAGGCCCTGGCTCATCATTCGAGCTCCGTTCTGGATCACTCCCTGAGGAACTGTGGAGAAAAGAAAGAATTTCTGTTTATATATATTTGTGTGTTTATGTGTGTTTGTGTGTGTGTGTGTGTGTGCATTGACATAGAGTAGATTCAAATGCACAACACTATGTTTAAGCCAGGGATGTCCACACTCAGTCCTGGAGGGCCAGTGTCCAGGAGAGTTTAGTTTTAACCCTAATCAAACACACCTAAACCAGCTGATCAAGCTCTTACTAGATACAGAAAACTTCCTGGCAGGTGTGTTTAAGCAAGCTGGAGCTAAATTATGCAGGACACCAGCCCTCCATCACCGAGTTTGGACACCCCTGGTTTAAGCGTTAAGAAATTAATTCTACAAGATTGAAAGGTCGGCATTGTTCTGTACTTTTAAAAAGGGTTAAAGGAACACTCCACAGTTTTATCATTTCTGAATCCATTCAGCCGATCTCCAGGACATGGTTTGAGCATTTTTAGCTTAGCTTAGCTTAGATCATTAAATCAGATTAGACCATTAGCATCTCGCTCAAAAATGACCAATGAGTTTTGATAATTTACCTATTTAAAGCTTGACATAGGACATCAACTTGAAGTCAGTTTGAGGTTGCACCCCAAGGTCGTAGGACGTTGCATTTTGTTTGGAAATGAAAATTGGGTTGATGTCAGAACCCAATGTCAGACTGACATCAATGTCCAACATTGGACAGACATTGCATTTTGGTTATTCCAATGCAACCTAAAAACAACCAAATATCAACTTCTAATCAAGTTACAGCTTGACGTTGTGTGGACGTTACCACTATGATGTCTATCAGACGTTGGATTTTGGTTGCCACACCTGACGAGTAAATGTCAGTATTTGACATCAATATGATGCTGGTTTATGATGTTGGCTCAATGTTGGACTTTGGTCACTTTCCAACAGAACCTAAAAATGACCAAATATCAACATTATTTCACATCGTTATTGGACGTCAAAATAACATCGTCCTTAGACAAGAATGACCTGAATCTAACCTAAGATTAGCATCTTATGATGTTGTGTGTCTGCTGGGTGTAGTTTCGTCGTGTACTAAAACTGAGAGAGAATTTCAAAGTTGCTATTATCTAGGTCGATATGGGTAGGAACTGTACTGTTCCTTGATTATTATGCCATCATAAAAGCATATAGCCATGTCGACCAAGAAAATAGCAACTTTTCATTAACGTCAATTACACAATGTATCCACAAAAGAGTCAAGCTGTAAATAGAACAATTGTGAATGCGCTTTGGTCATTTTTGAAGGACATGCTTATGGTCTAATCCAGTTCAATGGTATGACCTAAGCTAAAGGTATTCTATATTCAGAAATCAGCTGAATAGATTAAAAATGGTCAAACTCAACTGTTTAAGATGAGCGTATTTTCAAAAAGTGTTTTCCTTAAAACAAACATGAGCTACTCATAATCACTAGTTTTAATCTGTTCAGTTTCCTTTTCAGCCTCTAAATACCACATAAAAGTTGTAGGTACATAAGCAAGTCAGTTTATAGGCAGCATGGACTGCAGAACTGTACTGGACTGAATGACAAATGTCAGCATTATGCTTCTGTGAAATAATGTGCTCTTTATATTTAGTATGGTTAGACAAATGCTTGAGAGAGAGAGAAAAAAGCTTGAAAATACTGTCAAAGTTTCCATACTCAATCAAGAAACAACAACAAACCCAAAGGAAATTCAATCTTTTTTGTAGCTTTCAAAGTAATAGGGGAAGAAAGTCTCCCAGTTAGGTAATAAAATAGAAAACAAGACAGCAATTTTTTCCAGGTCTGGTAAATTGGTTTGCTGGTTTTCCAGAAAAGCGGGCTGTTATTCAGTTGTTTGTACGTATACTCTCATATAATGCGGATAATATTAAAAGCTAAAGTCCTCACTTTATTAAGTTTCATAACTTTTATATTGATTATTGAGTTTTTATAACATGTATTTTTTTTAATTGAATATTAAACATTTTCACCATGATTTCGAGTAGACACCCACTAAAATATAATTTGCTGGAAGAGTAGGCTATATAACAAAAGTCCTAATATTTAGTATGCTTTCTGTGTTTATGATTTTACTATTAACAGTAAAAAAAAATTTTACATGAACACCAAAATTGTATGTTTTATCATTTAAGTTCTTATATAGGCACTGTTCATCAACTGTTATGCATCTGAGTGGCAGCTTATGTGCATCAGTGCAGGTTCCTCTTTTAATAAGGGTTAACCAGGGATGGCATATTTTTGGCGCTGCAGTCAAATGGACCTAATGGCCGCTGCCCTTCTCTCAGTCCAAGTGCGGGGCAACATACAGTATATAGCTCCATCTGGAAAACCAACCTGGACTCGCAGCAGATGACACACAAAAAAAAGCACAAAATAAGCATCCAGCACACTGATCTGCCCATTAGGCAGAGGCATTGTTGCCTAGGTAACCATCCTCCTATGTATGCCATAGTTGCCTGACTAGGTGACAGTGAGTTGTGGTGGCGGAGCTGAATGAACATCTGGGCTGGACGAGTGCCCTCTTCAACCCAGAGGAAACACACTGCCATAACAAGGTGAAACGATGCTCTGTGACAGAGGCGTCCAGCTAACCAAGAGTGCAATGAGAACTGACAGAGATGTTAGGCTTATAATCTCCAAAAGCTGAAACTAAAAATAATTCAAAGATAGACAATTATAAAATCATCTCAGTCATAGCACCTATAGAGCAAACCAATAGAGGCCCTGGAGGCACATGAAGATGGAAAACTATGTGTTCACTTGAAAAACTCGCTTACATTCCCACGTAAAGATATTTGCATTCCCTCGCAAAAAAAAAAAAAAAAAAAAAAACTTGGATTTGGACTAACACTTCCTGTTCACTTTAAATCTTGCTGTGTGAATGAGACATCTCTGTATATTTGTTGTGGAGTGGCTCATTTTTATTTTTTTTTATTTCACCATCATGTCCCTTATGGGCGCTGAAGCGAACATTTTTAAAGGTTGAGTAGGCATTAAAACTGAAATAATAAAAGTAAACGAATTATAAGAATGAGTACAAGGTTTCCGAAAACTAATAAAGTAATGCAACAAATTACATTAATATTAGCTTCTTACTAATTTTCAGGTTTTTTTTTTTAAACTATCAAAAGGATCATATTTTAAAAGCTATTTCAATAACTATTTATTTGGAAAAAAAACTGCACAAAAGCATGCTCATCATTATCTTAATGGGTTCTCAGCCAAATATCAAAAAGTACAAAAATATAATAAAAAAGGCGACAAGGATAAAGAGATTTCACTTTTAGTGTTAACCTCTTTAATTTAGTAAACTGGTATTTTTATTTATTTTTTGTTAGTTTTGTTGTTATTGCCTTTTAGATTATACTACAACTATTTATTTTAGATTAAATCGGTCAAATAAAATCCCACATATTAATGTTTGTTGAGCTCAAACATGCATCTTTTAACCCTTGTGTGCTGTTGGGGATGTTTTCATTAAGTCTAGTGCGATTTTGAGTCCTAATTTGGACACAGCTTTCTCTGTATTACAGTAAATGGAATGATTTTCAGGGACAGATCTTATTTTAACACATATTTTGAGAAAATGCTTTGAAATTTTTCAAAAATTCAACAATATACTCATGGCAGAAAAGCGCAAAATTTCTACCCTTTCGTTATGTTGATAACTCTTTTTGCCCCATAGACTTTTATTAATAATAACTATAATTACATTTATATAGCGCTTTTCTAGACACTCATGGTGCTTTACACATTGGGGGAATCTCCTCATCCACCAACAGTGTGCAGCATCCACCTGGATTATGATATTATGATATAGGGATGGTTTGGAGGCCATGATGGACAGAGGCCAGTAGGCAAATTTGGCCAGGACGCCAGGGTTAAACCCCTACTCTTTTTCGAACTACATCCTGTGATTTTTAACGACCGCAGAGTCAGAGTCAGGCTTATTGTCTCATCTGAAAGACAGCGCTCACTGAACAGTATAGAATCCCCTTCACTATACTGGGGCATTAGGACCCACACAGACCGCAGGTTGAGCACCCCCTGCTGGCCTCACTAACACCACTTCCGGCAGCAACCTAGCTCTCCCATGTGGTCTCCCATCCAGGTACTCACCAGGTGCAGCCCTGCTTAGCTTCAGTGAGCGACCATGTGAGAGTTGCAGAGAGCTAGCTGCCGGCTACCATTATAGTGACATTTTTTTGAATGCAAAGCCATGACACCATATAATCATGCATTCTTGATTGATGGTGGATTTCCCTGTTGGGAATAGGTACAATTTACTGTAATTTAACAGTTGATGATCAGTTGTAGTGCAAAAAAAAAGCAAATCTGGGTGAGAGACCTTTGAAAATCAGATCTGAGAATATCAAAAAAGCAGCTTAGCCCTTAGAATATAGTAAACATACTACATAGTAAGTGTATTTATGCACAAACTAAATATAAACTGCTGTATTACTCCATAGAACTCTATAAAAAGCAATAACTTTTTTTTGAACAGGCCTATCTAAAGGGTTAATGCTGCCAGCTGATGATGAACAATAAAAATAGGCTTTTTACCCCTTTCCACCAGATGAACCCATTTAAAAATGAATAATTCTATGCAGTCAAGGCTTTGCAATCAAAAACTATTTTAATGGAAGTCAATGGGGCAAAAACAGCCATCAACATAATAAAAGGGTAGTCAATTTGAACTGTACACAAGGGTTAAATGAAAAAACAAATGTGATTAAGTCAATAAATCGATCATTCAAAAATGGCCTAGGCACTCGTCCACCAATGTAGGCTATACAGTATCTGCCTGACTCAACTAGGTGACAGTGAGTTGTGGTGGCGGCGCCGAATGAACATCTGGGCTGGCCGAGTGCCCTCTTCAACCCGCTGCCATAACACGCTGAAGCCGTGCCCTGTGACAGAGGCGATGAGCATTGACAGAGATGCGGCTCTCCACCAATTAGCGTGGATGGGCTGGCAAACTGAATGGCTAATGAT